ATTCTACCGAAAGAACGTCTCTTTTCCGCAGGACTACAAATCCTTCCGGTTCAGTCTACGCTGAGTTCAATACGACCCGTTTTATTAACCTGGGGGAATAGTTCTCCAATTCTTCTTTTAAAGGTGTCTGTCCTGCTTTATCTTTGGAACCGGCTCGGGAGTGTGTGTCAGTGGTAGCAGTGGTGAGGGAAACCAGCTACGTTTGTGGAATTAATGGAAGTCAAATATTTGAAGGCGTGCTACTGAAGAGTTATACATACTGCTGCATAGCAGTATGAAGATAGGAGAGGTCATTTTATTAAAGAACTTCTGACGATTTCTAATATAGTGATCTGTGGACCTGAATTCATCTCCACTTCAAGTTGCCTTGAGGTAAACTTTACCACATAAAAGTGACTGGTTTACGAAACATGTATGTATCCGTTTCCAAGGTAGTACACTTCATTAAAGAGGAGACTAGGGAGCCTTATTCGTAAGGTTCATTAATTTATTACTCCATAGTGAATGCTACATTGAAAGATATCACCAAAAGAGGTGTAGAATGCTAGGATTTTTCCCAATATTTACCATCATCCCATCAACGTTGGAAGCAGCTTCGTCATGGGCACTTTTGGTTCCTCCTTGACGGCTAGTGAACATGATGCAGGACTTGAGGTTGGCACGACTTCCCAGCGTCCCAGATGAACTTCTTTACCACGGTAGGCTCCACATCATTTGTGAGGAATATCTGTCTGATTTCACTCACCAATCACTTTTGATTTACTTTAAACACTTTACAATCGCTTAAATTAACTTCAGATTGGTTTTCAAAAGCACAATTTGCGTGATGCCTTTGTGCTTGATGTGACCTTTTAAGTTGGAAATTAAAAAGTAATTATTCCACCCCTTCCCTTTCTCTCTACTTCCTCCTCCTCCTCTGCTGCCGCCTCTGCCGCCATCTCTCCCTCTCTCCCGATCTTCTAACACCGTCAATATGCAAAAGATCGCCTGACAGTATTCATTCTCACAAAAGTAAATTAATTTAACTCTCTAGTTCGTTTAAATATACTTATCCATGGTAACAAAGCTTCAGGTTTGGTCAAACGTTAAAAAAGCTTTTAAATCTAGGTTTTGAGTTTCTTAAGTGTCATTTTGTTGTCTTTTAGAAGGGAACTTATGGACTAACTTGAGGTGGGCGATTTGAAACAAGAAGACATGCCCAGGAAATACACAAGACCAATCAACCTTCTCTTGCGGATATGATCTCCTTGAAGGTGAAAAGTAGCTCTGCTCAAAGTAATCATATCTTATCTGAAGAGGGTGAAGTTGTAGGAAGCATCACCAGGTTGATTCCGGTGATAAGTCATCTGACAATTCGTCAAGGTCAAGGAGATTTTTTACTGTCGGCGGGGCTCCTGAAGAATTACTTAATGGTGTTGAAATATAAAAAGAATTGAAGACCAGAAACGTTGGAAAAATTTCTCACTTCTATCAAAGCAGAAAATCAAGGAGGCTAGACAAATGGATCTCGCATACTGTCTATAAATAGATGACAGGAATCACCAAAGGTTATCAAGTGAATTGTTTGTTGACTGACTCAATCCTTGGCAGAATGAATGCTTTCTTGGCTGCGCCCAAACAATCAACCCGATATCCATTACCTTCTCCTGAGGTCCAGCTGCCTCCTTACATCACCAGGCCTTCCCTTTGTGCGTGTGGTGAAGTGAAGAAGCAATTTTTCACCTCCTAAAGGTCGGATGGAAAGTATTTTGCTGAGATTTATGAACTCAAAGGCATTCAGAGGAAAGTTATCTTTCGGAAACAGCCAGTACTGTTCATTCAGTGGGAGGAAAGCCGAAAATTCCATGAGAGATGAAATAGACAATTGGGGAACAAAAGTGAGGCAAAAAAGGTGGCTTGATTTTTATGGAGTTGTCTCGATGAGAACAGCCGATGAATCACAGCGAATTCCCTTAAAGTCACAATTTTTTTAAGAGATAAGGCAATCACCCCACGAAAACTCTTTGTACTGATTAATCTGGGCTCTGAAGGCATTTTTAGAGGGCAATTGAGGGCCAACAACAGGCATTTAAGGTCTTTGGAAAGGATAAAAATCCAAGCTAACAGGTAATATCTTGTCGTCGCCTGAAATAGAAAGATTCTACCGAAAGAACGTCTCTTTTCCGCAGGACTACAAATCCTTCCGGTTCAGTCTACGCTGAGTTCAATACGACCCGTTTTATTAACCTGGGGGAATAGTTCTCCAATTCTTCTTTTAAAGGTGTCTGTCCTGCTTTATCTTTGGAACCGGCTCGGGAGTGTGTGTCAGTGGTAGCAGTGGTGAGGGAAACCAGCTACGTTTGTGGAATTAATGGAAGTCAAATATTTGAAGGCGTGCTACTGAAGAGTTATACATACTGCTGCATAGCAGTATGAAGATAGGAGAGGTCATTTTATTAAAGAACTTCTGACGATTTCTAATATAGTGATCTGTGGACCTGAATTCATCTCCACTTCAAGTTGCCTTGAGGTAAACTTTACCACATAAAAGTGACTGGTTTACGAAACATGTATGTATCCGTTTCCAAGGTAGTACACTTCATTAAAGAGGAGACTAGGGAGCCTTATTCGTAAGGTTCATTAATTTATTACTCCATAGTGAATGCTACATTGAAAGATATCACCAAAAGAGGTGTAGAATGCTAGGATTTTTCCCAATATTTACCATCATCCCATCAACGTTGGAAGCAGCTTCGTCATGGGCACTTTTGGTTCCTCCTTGACGGCTAGTGAACATGATGCAGGACTTGAGGTTGGCACGACTTCCCAGCGTCCCAGATGAACTTCTTTACCACGGTAGGCTCCACATCATTTGTGAGGAATATCTGTCTGATTTCACTCACCAATCACTTTTGATTTACTTTAAACACTTTACAATCGCTTAAATTAACTTCAGATTGGTTTTCAAAAGCACAATTTGCGTGATGCCTTTGTGCTTGATGTGACCTTTTAAGTTGGAAATTAAAAAGTAATTATTCCACCCCTTCCCTTTCTCTCTACTTCCTCCTCCTCCTCTGCTGCCGCCTCTGCCGCCATCTCTCCCTCTCTCCCGATCTTCTAACACCGTCAATATGCAAAAGATCGCCTGACAGTATTCATTCTCACAAAAGTAAATTAATTTAACTCTCTAGTTCGTTTAAATATACTTATCCATGGTAACAAAGCTTCAGGTTTGGTCAAACGTTAAAAAAGCTTTTAAATCTAGGTTTTGAGTTTCTTAAGTGTCATTTTGTTGTCTTTTAGAAGGGAACTTATGGACTAACTTGAGGTGGGCGATTTGAAACAAGAAGACATGCCCAGGAAATACACAAGACCAATCAACCTTCTCTTGCGGATATGATCTCCTTGAAGGTGAAAAGTAGCTCTGCTCAAAGTAATCATATCTTATCTGAAGAGGGTGAAGTTGTAGGAAGCATCACCAGGTTGATTCCGGTGATAAGTCATCTGACAATTCGTCAAGGTCAAGGAGATTTTTTACTGTCGGCGGGGCTCCTGAAGAATTACTTAATGGTGTTGAAATATAAAAAGAATTGAAGACCAGAAACGTTGGAAAAATTTCTCACTTCTATCAAAGCAGAAAATCAAGGAGGCTAGACAAATGGATCTCGCATACTGTCTATAAATAGATGACAGGAATCACCAAAGGTTATCAAGTGAATTGTTTGTTGACTGACTCAATCCTTGGCAGAATGAATGCTTTCTTGGCTGCGCCCAAACAATCAACCCGATATCCATTACCTTCTCCTGAGGTCCAGCTGCCTCCTTACATCACCAGGCCTTCCCTTTGTGCGTGTGGTGAAGTGAAGAAGCAATTTTTCACCTCCTAAAGGTCGGATGGAAAGTATTTTGCTGAGATTTATGAACTCAAAGGCATTCAGAGGAAAGTTATCTTTCGGAAACAGCCAGTACTGTTCATTCAGTGGGAGGAAAGCCGAAAATTCCATGAGAGATGAAATAGACAATTGGGGAACAAAAGTGAGGCAAAAAAGGTGGCTTGATTTTTATGGAGTTGTCTCGATGAGAACAGCCGATGAATCACAGCGAATTCCCTTAAAGTCACAATTTTTTTAAGAGATAAGGCAATCACCCCACGAAAACTCTTTGTACTGATTAATCTGGGCTCTGAAGGCATTTTTAGAGGGCAATTGAGGGCCAACAACAGGCATTTAAGGTCTTTGGAAAGGATAAAAATCCAAGCTAACAGGTAATATCTTGTCGTCGCCTGAAATAGAAAGCCTTACGATGACATCTACACCTCTAATGCAGATGTAAAGGAAAAATGTTAAGACCCTTGCTTAAAGAAGAGCTCCGTCTCCAGATGCATGGATGTCCCTCCACAATTTAGGGGAAACTCGGAAATAGATA